AGGGTCTCCTTAAATCAAATCTTATAAGGTAGCAGTGTGTTAAAAATGACATCAATGAGAGTTGTTAATGGTTGAATTTATAGGATTTCTTAGAACATATTGAGGGTCATAATCAAGCCATTTAACACTGGGCTCCCTCTACGGTAAATAGCGCTTTGTGTGTTCTCCCTCTTCATGTTTCTCTACCCCCACCTTGTACACTGAATTCATTTACTGTCACACTAACATGATGTCAGCACATAATTACTTGATGGGCAATAGATGGTCCTGCAGCAAATTCCCCTAGGCTCAGCAGGAGGTTAATGTTGTCCGAGGAACCTGTGCCGTTACGCCCCCGGCGGGTGACACTGTTACGCTTGGCCTGCTGAGAGGGGCTATGCTTGCTGCCCAGCATGGAGCCTGTGTGCCTTAGCAACAAAGGTCAGAGTCCCAGAGAGCTTCTGGAGCAGAGCCGTATGAAAGCTTGTTAATATGGTCCCTAAGATGGATTTCATTTACAGCGTCATGGGAAGCCAATGTCTGGCACACAATTAAACCACAACAAATCGAAAAGAAAACAAACATTAGGCAACAGCAAAAAAGACAAAGAGAAAATGTACAATATGTACAGTATGTGGAGGCAACCACCTCATTATGACAGTGGAGACAGTCTATTTAAAAGTCTCATAGGATAACAACAACAAAGATGGATATCATTCTGAAGCTGACACATGCGATTTTCACCATTACTTGATCTACAGATAGTTATGCAACGCTAATTACATTTATATTCATTCAAGTCATACAGGAGCAATATTTGATTTGGTTTAAATTAAATGTATATGTTTTTTAGACGGCTGGTCAGCTAAAAATCTCTGAAAAAAAAAAACTTGTGATCTGGATATTACAATATAAAACAAGACTTGATATTTCCACTTGGTCTTTGAAAACCTGAACAATTTTAGCAATCTTGGACTGGTCATGTATATTACATGTCACTTGTTAGACGCTTTTATCCAAAGCGACTTATATTCAATACTGTGGACAATCCCCACAGGAACAATTTAGGGTGAAGTGTCCACTGACTGCAGAGGGATTCGAACCAGTGCCCCCGTGATCCGAAAATCAGCGCACTATCCACTGAGCCACAACCTCCCCGTATATGACCTTGAAACCTTTGTCTTCATGTAACTATTCTATGTGCACTTACTGACTCACCTTAAAATACATCACAGGTCTGCCTGTGGAACATAACTCAGACAGACAAAGCAAACGTTTTCTCATACTGATATTCTGTACAAACAGTGCTGTTGTATTTGTTGTAAAGTTTCTTTATTGTAAAGTATTTTTATTGTATGTACTATGTACAGCACTTTGGCTCGACCAAAAATTGTTTTAAAAATGTGCTATATAAATAAAACTTGATTTGATTTGATTTGAAACGGTGGGAGCAGAGTTGTTGGACTAATGTGTTGGAATCCTACCCAGAAGGGAGGTAACCTGTCTTATCCCTGCTTTTCTCTCATTAAAGAATATGATGAAATCAGGGCAGATCCTGTTTGTTTCTTTCAGATGGATGATGTGGAAAAGTGAAAGACAATGACTTGGCTTTCACATGGAATCAAGTCAAACTGGGGAATGTTTCCCAGTGTAGTTCATCTGGAATTGCAATTCATGCCTGTTTTTGATTCCTATTCACTGCTTTGGCAGGATTATAAAAATTAGATTTTCAAGTTGGAAAAGCAAATAAATTAACAAGGACAACATGAGAAGCACAACCTTAGTTTCCTGTTAGTTAAAAAACAAAAAGGTGATATAAAACTACATGGATATTTATCAAATAAAAACAGGCAAAAAGGGGTAAATAGACAATAAAAACAAAATGTTTAACTTAACCAGAATTACTGTAAAATTGAAATCAGCCATTAGCCATTTTTACAATGTAAACCCATTTGCGCTACTTGGTAATTCAGCAGCATTAAGGCTCCACTTAACAATAATAATTTACAAATAATGTACCAAATGACTGATTAATGTGTTTACAGAGATTACCTCACAGAGATTGCCAAAGCCTTTAACCTCATTATTATAATTTAGGGCACATTGACTTTCTCAGTCTCACTCAATTGCATTTCAAGTAATAGACATAACGTTAGCTGTTGTTTTAGCGCTGAGCAGCACAGACAAAATTAGCTACCAAGATGCCCAAAGTGTCACAGTTGCCTAAACCATTCCAGACCAGAATGCAGACTAGCAAAATCTGCTAATCTACAGGATATGCAGTTGTTAGTTATCATTGTGGCCAGAGAAAGAGCTATCTGACATTATATAGCATATGTTATTCAGTATGCTCCACCTTAAAGTGCTGCAAAACAGAACACAATAACTGACCCGAACCGTCATTTTTGGTGGGTAAACACTGATAGGGTGTAACTTGAATTTACCCAGATAGATTTGACACTCACAGGAGGTATCTGAGCCAACTGAATTCTCCGAAGAGACAAGAGTAGACACTTGGGGAGAGCTGTGCTGAGCTCAACTCTGACCTTACTGGGTGTGAAACTCCAATGAGAAAGTCCAGAGCCAGCATCGGGTTTCAGCTTGTGCGTTGAGCTTGGTCAGGGGGAAAAGGGTCAAATAAGTCTAAAGCAACTTCGAAGAAATTAATACAACATATGTAGGGTTTGGCCACATGAGTTCTGTCCTGCTATTTCCCCATCATCCATATATAAATATCCCCACTGCGGAACAGCAACTGGTTGATCAGTCGGTCTTAATTTACATCCACACATGAGCCAAGTCTACTTCCCGGCCCTGTGGGTTTCAACCATTATCCTAAGCAATTAATTTAGAAGATCTGAATCCGTTCAAGCTGAACAGATACAAAATGCATCTGACTAGCTCTGACTTCAGATGGGTCACCTCAAGTGATAATGTCTCTCTGGGGAGGACATGGTTTGCTTTAGGAATGTTTTACTACAGTCCAAAAATATATTCTCAGCTCAACTTTCATTTGTCTGAGCATGCAGCACGCACGCTGCATGCAGAGCTCCAGGCAGACAGAGTCATGTTGGTTATAGCAGTACAGCTGGCTAGTAAATACTGGCTGACACTAAAGTGTGTCAACCATCGGTGGAAGTCATTCACTAGGGATCCCTAGGTAGAACAGAAACGTCCACAAGACAGACAGGGAAAGGAGAACTGACAAGAAAGCTCTGGGGGCGGTGTCATGAACAATGCAAACATGACATTGCATGGAGCCTAACTACTCCCTCTTTTCTAGCAGCCTTGAACTCCTGACAGCAATGTCAAAGTCAGCACAGTCTGGACAAAGTAAAAACTTGCACAAAAAAAAGAACTAATGATTCCCACTCAATATGCTTAACATGAAGTAAGCTGAAACGGATTTTATTCAACAATCGAATAATAATTTTGTCATAGTAGGTCTAAATAATAAAAAAATGAAGGCCAAGCCCTGTACTGCATATGTAAAAGTTATTTTAAAATGTATGTCATATATATTTTTCTTCATTACTTCTATTGTGATATAGGCTAAGCTCACTTAAAACCGTTATGTTCATTATGAAGATATGAAGTTACCCACATCGTAGTAGAACATAATGGCCATATCGCCCAACTCTATAGCTAATTACATTTTTGAACATTGACCAATGGTTTCATCACTTAGAAATAGTCATGCATAGCCCCGCACATTTTGATTCTTTTTGTCAGTTAAACAGAATCCCATCTCCTGTGCACCTGTTCACACCACTCCCTCCATCCATTTATCTCAATCAGTCCAGATTACCCAAAGCAAGATGATATCCTGCCAATAAAGATGGGCTCAGACTTTCCCAGACACACACACAACTGAACTGGCGATGATGATGTTTAAGGAGCCTGAACCCACGAGAACAAACCCATCAAGGCCAACCGTCTGAGGACGACGAACTGTTGATGAATACATTAACAACTTCCTCACTCTTTGATCCCAGTTTTACACATTTGCCCTGACTGGTAATTCATTCCCATGATTCAACAGTGAGTGTCGTGACAGCCAGATGTAAAAAGTGTTCTGTATGTGAATGCTCAAGCTGTTGATCATAGCCCACTGTGTAGTGTTCTTGTTGAATCTCATCTATCGGGCATGGGCCACGTGATGGAGATGTCATGAGCTACAGCCCAAAGGGGTGCAATCCCAGTGTGAGACACACAAGAATAGACACAAACACACACTGCTGCAGATATAGACATTTCCCCAAGGCTCTCAAGCAGCTATTTTTCATTTGTTTGCTAGGATGTCATAAACATAATAAATCAGTTGCAATTTACGGGCTCCTAAAATGCTACTTCACTTCTTAAGTTCAAACGAACATTGTGGATTTTTGGTTTCTGCATTTGGCACTAAAGTAATCCTGGAATTCGTCCATAATTCAACATTTGAAGTATGTTTGAAGTGCCTTGAAAAACTGAAGTATGCTTAAAGCACCAGCGTAACGCCTCAAGTGCTACCCCTAATTACCAACGAGAGTTTCAGCATCATCAATTATACAGCGTGTCTTCTCCTCTGAGGTGCACACACTGACTGCGAGCTAAAAAAGAAATGATGTTATGCCTTTCACACAGAGAGATCTATGGAGAGAATGAGAGAAAGCCATGAATTTAGAAAGCTTGTTTACACTGGGGATGTTTGACTCTGCCCAAACATGTGTTATGGATCTGTAAGTCTGCTGTACTAACACAGGCTTTCATAAAACATGATATACCAAAAACAGCCAAATGTGAGACATGAATGAAGAATAGAAGAGACAAGAGACTGCAGAATGCACGCAATGACAAATGCAGAGGTTCATTACTAGGTATATATAATATCGTTCTATGATGTTTCCACGTGAAAACACTTCTTCTTTTTTGTATTGACAATCACAAAGTGAGAAAAATCAATTAAGAATACAATCAATTTGCACATAGATTTTTGAAAGCCTTTAATAGGAAAGGAAAAATACATCCTCGCCTCTTACCTTCAGCAGATGTGGAGAGCACGCTGTCACACAAAGCGACAGATAAAGCCTGAAGTGCTGTCAGAATGACAAACTTCAGACTCCAGAGGTTCATGATGCCCGGCTGAAGCGTGGACGGGACTGGCCAACTGGTTCACTGCAGAGCAACCATCATACAATCCAACAACAGCTGATGTGCAAGAGCAACCCCCCAAAATAAAACCCACTTCCTGAAATATGATCAAGTAAATGAGCGGTGTCTTAGGAAATCCCGAGGACAGCTGATTCAACTCCCATTCACAAACGTCCAAGTCAAAAAGCAGCCGCGAAAAAGTATGAAATGTAAGGGGAATTGAAGAGCGACCGGGGATAAATGTTAACAAATACACAAGCCGCTGCTGTATCAGACGCCCACTGAAATGACATAAATTGCAAGGCAATTACTGGCGAGAAGTGTTGTCTTATGAGTAGGGACCATGTGCTTCATGAATCGCTCCGCCAGGTCCTAGAGCCAGCTTTCGCACCTATTATTAATCATCGAGCAAGAGCAGTGTGAAGCTAACCGGATAAACAAACAGCAACATCCGGTTCGACCTTTCACAATAAAGACGCCACATTACACATCTTTTAAACTATGTTTGTATGATACAAATGAGAAAAACCTAAGATAAATGTACTTAAATTAAAGTGTTTAAAGGTTAATTTTGTAGTATGAAAGTGTATGACTTTAAAGTTAGAGTTTGACAAAATAAAAATGATTAAGTTATACTTTTGCCCGTTTGACTACGTGGCTCTCATTTCTGTCGTTTTTATTTTCCTTCACTTAAATATTTAGAGTCAAATATATTCTTTATATATATATCTTTTTTCATAAAACTGAGGATTTAATGCTTTTTAAAATTCCTATTATTGCAAATTGAAAGATTGAACACATTATCTTTGGTCAGGGAAAATTAACCTTGCATTGTCACTTAACTTGTAAGTGGATATCCCAAATAAGTGGACCTTGAGTCAATATCATTTTAGTCAAAAAATAGGAATTCCTTCCCATGTGCCACAATTATCTGAAGGTTGCAGAAGCTAGCGTGACACCAGCATTTTATTTTGAAAGCACACCACTTAATTTCCGGCCTGACTCTTGGTATCCACTACTTAACTTGACCCAATGTGCTGATAGTCCCACACATGCTGAAGCAGCCCACTGCACATTTAAATAATGTGGCCTACACAGCCCCCACTCAGAGATGTTACTCACTGTTGTTGTGCATACATTTTGTTGTTGAGTCAGAGTAAGCTAAGCATAATCTGTCTGTTGTATGACTTTGAATATATTTACATTTTAAGATATCTGACTCAAATATATTCATGAGACTCACAGCCAGATACTTGTTATCAAGGCACTGAGATGCACGGATTCTACATATAGACACGGCCAATTCAGACACTGGCCGTCCACCTTAGACATTCACTTCAAGAGGGAATGCAGTCAGAAAACAGGCAGGTGTCCAGTGTCCACATGGGGATGAGTTCCTGAAAGCTTTTTCTCTCCCAACAGGGGAGAACTCTGGTATGCTCGATGTAAGGTGAAGTCACAGCAGTGCATCCAATTGTTGGCTTTCACCTTTTGAAATAGGAACTACGGGGTGCAGCCTCGTGTCATTACTCTCAGAAACCTCCATTTCTCAAAGTCTTCTTTCAGGATTTAATATGAATCGAAATAAAACCAAACTGAGGAGTATTTCGCTGCATACTGATTTGACTGGAACCCAACTCTCGACTATAGGCTGATAATAAGAGCTGATCTTTTGCTCTTTTTAAGAACCAGGATGCCTGAAGGAAGATAACGCAGGCAGTAAAATAGGGATTTCTGTTGGTATGCAAAGACAGATAATAGTGAATAATAAATCCTAACTTTATGGAAATCCATCTAATCTTTGTTATTATGTCAACGCACTTTGGGGAAAAACAGAACTTTTTATTCCTGGAAAAACATGTATAGTCTTGTTTGGAATACAAATAAACAATATGTAAAAAGAAAACTCAACTATATAAAAGAAAACATATAACTCAATTCCAATATAGCATATAGTTGACGTTTAAACAATGACATTGCATAGTGAAACTGTCTTTGTTAAGTTAAATAGCAAAACAACACACAGTACATTGTTTCTCTAAGCAGCAGTCATGGTTCATAGACGTCTTATTCTACTGTAGTCTAAAATTACTCATTTTCGAAAGACAGAAACAATTATGAACCATGAGTGCTGTTATAAATGATCTCCTCTCATCCAAAACACCCACATGGAATAGGATTCACCAAAAACTGTAGTGATCATCGTTCTCCAAGACATCAGTGTAAATGTAGATGGATGAAACAGTTGGACTATGAAGGATCTCTGACTTAAAGGCTAATGAGGAAAAAAACAATTAGGAATAATGAAGAGCGTCTGTTATTTTTTAAATAAATATTCACACATCTCACTTTTGATTTATTGTCAAATGCTCCATAATGTTGTTTAGCACTCTCACTTGGATCGCTCACATTTTAAATCTGCAAAATGGCGCGTCTTAGTCCATCATGAGACTAAAGACAGGGACAAAAGCTCTATTCAAATCTGCACTGTCCATTAACAGGGCATTTCCAGTGAGAAGAGGTCACATTCCTCCGTCTTACAGCTCATAGCTGACACTGGATAATAGCAGAGCACCATTCAGGCTTCATATTTGCTGTATAATGAGGATGACGGTTAAAGAGTGTCCTGGAAGGGACTGAGAAGCATATTGAAAGTTTCTGATCACTGCTCCACATCACGAGATCATGTGAAAGTGGTTGTGTGAGGACATCAGTGCTTACTCTGAATCCCATTACTTGAAGTATTCTGGGAAGAAAGGCAATTTGCAATCAAGTGAAAACAAGATAACAGCGATAAACAGCGATAAACAGCATACATGAATGTTTTTTGTCAAAAGCAAATCAGTCGGTGCGTTTATGAGGCTCAATGTGGTATTTAACCAAAACAGAATGTTAGGACAGGACTTCATACATTCCTTTTGCCATCTTCATTTGTAATTGCATGGCAGAAGGGCTTTTAAAACAGCTGATGCACAGGGAAAAGCATATGTTTTCATAAAAAGACAGATCTATGGCAATGTTTCAAAAAACCCAGAAGGTCTTTTCACAACACATAGTGCTTTTTGGGATTTTCAAGATCCTTAAGGCGTCAGATAATCCTGTCTATAAATCTACCCTGTCTTGAAATGCTATTTTTAAGAAGGACATCATTATCTTATGGCTGGATTTGTACAACACATCAGAATATTATATGTTTTTTGTCCAGATGTGAAGAAGAATTCTGGAAAAACCTTCAAAGCGGAAATACACTAAGCGATGTTAAATGACTGTCTGGACATTCGGAAAGATTGCCTTAGCTGTATCGTATAGAAAAAAACAGATGTTAAACTCTGTTACTTGAATAATGATGATACATGAGAGAAACAAACGAGGGCCAAAAGGACATCATATTATGTTCAGCACTGTCAAAGGGCAAAGGTCACTTCATCAGTCTGCCATGCAATGCTACAGGCTTTGTCACATCATCTCTTCATCGTCTTTCAGCTGTTGCTCCTTTGAAGAATCTGATCCAACAGTTTCTGTAATAAGAAAACAAATAAATGAAATTGTTAAAACACTTGGTGACTATTGAGCACCACTCCTGTCCTCACAAAAAATATGTGGCTTTTTTGAGAAGGCACTGGAACAGTTTTGAAGCCTGCTGTCTTGTCATACACACACTCAGGTTTCCACTCTTTTTTTCAGGACCCTGCTTGATCTCTGGCACTGCCCCTCTCCCCGGTGTTATCTGCTGTAGCAGCAGTGAGGGTGGAGCAGCTGCATGTGGGTGCAGCTCTGCTGAATGGTGGCACTGCACTGTAGCGCTCTCTGCCACTGAAGGGCCTTTTGTTTCACACTGAACACAGGCCTCATACACTCAGCACAATGACACTGTTCACCGTTTCTCTCCATAATGAGAGAAGGGTGTATGGAGTGTTTTAAGAGAGCAACAGCAATGAAAACTGTCCTGGGTGATATTCACTGATTAATGAAAATAAATTTCAGATGCATCGGAATCAAACTACTCAGAGAAATGCAAGAAAATGGCAAAAGTATGGCAACAGCGACATCTAGTGGACTCATAAGGTCATTGTTCTCAAAGCAAATTCAGTGTCAAGAAGAAATACCTCAAAGGAATAAATATTCAATTCAATCTGACCCTTTTTAGAAATAAGCACAATTGGCATTGACATTTTATTCCTGCTGTTGCATCCCTTATTAACTTTTTTTCAGCAAAACAAAGATAAAATATTACATATCATATAAACTGTATAACAAGTTCCCCAATCTAATGTGTGCACAATACAATTGTACTTATCATATCCCTTTTAAAGCGGAAAATGCCCTTATCGCTCATCATTTTGTCAGATATTGTATCTCATTATTAATGCACTTATAAATCGACAAGGCCAACATGTCCCCCTTAACAGATGAATATCCTTAAATGCGTTATACATCTAATTGACCTCCTGTTCATTGGGTTTCTATGGTTACAAATATATTTCCACTCTTTCCAGGTATGATGGACTTGCTAATCAATTTAAAGCCATCATTTTTCACAGCTGCATTGCTGTAAAGAAAGGAAAGGGGAAAACACTTTGGCCATTACTAAATGTTACCCATGTTTTAATGGAATTTATGCATACATCTTTTGATAAAAACCTCAGGGAGTTCATCATAGGCAAGCCTGGTGCTTCAAATACTAAGAGAACATAACACTTAGTCTGTTTAAAATAATGCAGTTCATCTAGATCTGTTAGTTACACCCATTAATACAAAACAATTCCTCACCTACATTTTTGAAAATCATCTTATTCTACACACTTTCCAAATATCTTGATGCATTGTTTTATACATGTATTCACCAAATGTATATCTGGCATCTTTACAATAAATAAACATACATAGA